CCAAATATTTGCTATGCAGGAAGACCTACACCAAGTCGACCGCAAGCGTCTAACGGCAGAAGTGGAAACGTCCACCATCACATCTGCCGTGGGAGATGTCACCCTGGGGGCCAAGAACCATAATTTCAAGTCCCAGACGTTCAAGATCCCAACCAACTGTGATCTATGTGGCGAAAGGATATGGGGCTTATCGGCCAAGGGGTTTGACTGCAGAGACTGTGGCTACACGTGCCACAGCAAGTGTGAAATGAAAGTGCCTGCTGAATGTCCCGGTGAATTGTCTAAGGAGGAACGTAAGAAATACAAGGCCGAGCGGCAATCAGCAGCGGGTGCTCTGCTAAAACCCTCTGCCGGACCGCCGGACCACGTTGCAGAATTACCTGCTTTGAGTCGGTCCAATACGATGAACTCTTTGAGTTCTGGATACGCAGCCAGCGCAAACAGGTCAATAAGCGGTCCGGTAGTAAGTCCACGCTCCCCTGCAGAAGATGCGCCGCCTGAACCTCCTGGTCCTCGACCTGCGTCTACTATAAAAAAGGCCCGCCTCGTCGCACCGCCTCCCACTGCCTATATCAGCGAGCTGCCCGGTAGCTCAGTTCCTCCGATTAACAAGGCCTCCGAGCATAAGGGGAAGATGCTCTATGCTTTCGATGCGAGTGGCGATGGCGAGATTTCCGTTCCCGAAGGGCGAGAAGTTGTCATTATCGAGCCCGATGGTAAGTTCCACACTCCTCTTTTTCAATCGCAGTTTTTTATACCTTTGCTAACACGACTTCTGTAGATGGAGCGGGATGGGTGAAGGTCCGGGCTGGTTACAAAGAAGGAATAGTACCCGCAAGCTATCTCGAGGTCTTCCCCGCGCCCATCGTTCCCCAGGATACGGGTTCTTCGCTCAACAACCGTCCTGCGTCTACGTATTCTAACTCGGGGTCGTCTATAGGCACGGCGGGCCCCTCTGTAAAGAAGAAAGGACCAGCCGTTGCCCCGCGTCGTGGAGCTAAGAAACTGAAGTACGTCGTCGCGTTATACGACTACACGGCGCAGGCCGACACCGAGCATAGCATGACGGAGGGCGAGCGATTCGTGCTGATTAAGGAAGATCCTGGTGATGGCTGGGCCGAAGTAGAAAAAGGGGGCGCGACTAAGAGCGTACCGGCAAGCTACGTACAGGTGGCAACAGACTAACGGGACTCGTTGTCTTGCGGCCAAAACACCAATTGAGCTCCATTGCTTTCAGGTAGTCGAGGGCCCATAGGTCATTCGCTGTGGATTAGCATTGGATACCTAAGACGGCGAGGGACGTACCCCTGGGTATATAGTAGCAGGCGATGTTGATAAGTCATTGAGGCTAAACTCCAATTTATGATATATAAGTCATCACATCCAGTAAAGCTTTTACGTGAAGTGGAATCTTGACCATTCATTAGTCCTTCCGAGTTTCACACCCAGCTGTTTACCTACCTAGGTACTTAGCGTATCCAACTCACCCTCAATAAATCTAAAGACCAAGCAGTCAAGGTGGGGAGGCCATACGTACAAGGGTAACAGCGAAGCCACATCATCTACCGTCGACGTGGGCACGTTCAGCTTCAAATCACCTACCTACGACATAGAGAAGTTGAAGTGGGTCGTTGAAAGATCGTGAGACAAAATCTAAAGAAAGCCTAGGTTGGATCATTTTAAGACCAGGTTCTATCTACTAAATATTCTTGAATGACTCGATGCAAACGGCCCTATGGGGCAATTGGCGAGTTAACAAGCTTTCGCAAGGCTAGGTACCTAGTGTTTCGTCCTTCTCAATATTGCATAGCTGACGATGTTACGCTGAAGTCTACCTTATTTCCCGTGCAAGACGTCGTCCGGTGGAAACATTCTCCAAGTGACGCGTCACCTACAGTACCCCGGCTCCATTGAAATATCGCAGGACTGCCTGACGCGGCGACACCCTAGCAGCAACGTGCGGGAGAAGAAAAAAATGCACACTAATAACGAGTAGCCTACTAACGAGAACAGCTGGCAGGGCTTGTCTATGCCGATATGCCGGGCCCTTCCCCATCTTATCAGATCATCGTATGGTATGGATGTAACAAGGGTCTTCTTATGCAGTAACTAGTATCTAACCTACCTAGCCATATTGCAGAGTGACTAGGTACGCTATGACTTTGTGGATCATCATCTACGGCATAGTTTTAATCTCCCGTTCTTATTCATTTACCCAGGCCCAAGACTTGAATCAAGCTTTCCAGCACTCCATTTTAAGCTGCGAGTGCGGTACTTGCCGTCTCTCTGGGAGAAACGATTACCCAATGGCTGAGTGACGCGGAGTTGCTAGTTTGGGTTGGGCAAACGTTTCCAGAGCGGCTGAGCAGCGGCTCTATAGTTCAGCGCTGCAGGGCTGCCCGGCCGGATCTAGAAGTCCCACCGAGCATTGTCACTGATGCGACTTCGCCCGGAAGGCATTCGTAAGCTCGGCGAGACACCGGCCAGGGTACGTTCGCCCACTCAAGCCAGCTCGGGGGCAAACCCGACAGCCGATGAAGAGAGATATATATATATATACATCAGGTAAGGCCTGAAGTATCACAGGATTCTCTCCTAGGCTAGGTTCTCTTTCGTGAGTCCCTTCTCCTTAAACCAAACGGTCGTTTCCGAATTTCTCCTTAATTCCTTCGTTTGACTTGCAACATGCGTCCATCAAGCGGTGTGGTCGTCGCTACTCTAGCAAATTCCACGGGTGCTGCGTCTATCACGGATGTCTGCACCACGTCCAATGTGCAGGCTGCCCTGCCGGCAAACGGCACTGTTCTCGGCATTGACATGATCCCATCGGCGGTCACAGCTAGCGTCGTCTACAATGCAACTAGCGGCGGTGGCATGGGCGGCACGGGCACTTCAAGCGGCAGCACGGCTACATACACTTACTGCAACGTGACGGTCTCTTATGCACACACCGGCAAGAGTGATAAGGTGGTTGTCAAGTATGCCTTCCCGCAGCCTTCCGACTTCAAGAACCGCTTCTACGTCGCCGGTGGAGGCGGCTTCTCCCTGGCCAGCGATGCCACCGGCGGTCTTCCGTACGGCGCTGTCGGTGGTGCTACCGACGCAGGCTACGATGCCTTCAGCAACACCTACGACGAGGTGGTCTTGTATGGAAACGGGTCTATCAACTGGGATGCCACGTACATGTTTTCGTACCAGGCACTAGGGGAGATGACCAAGATCGGGAAGCCGTTCGCTCAGGCCTTCTACGGCTTGTCTGACGACACCAAGGTCTACACTTATTACGAGGGATGCTCCGACGGTGGACGCGAGGGCATGAGCCAAGTTCAGCGCTACGGCGAGGAGTACGACGGCGCCATTACGGGCGCTCCCGCCTTCCGCTTCGCTCAGCAGCAAGTTTTCCACGTGTACTCTTCTGTCGTCCAGAAAACCCTCGACTACGTCCCACCACCATGCGAGTTGGCCAAGATTGTGAATGCCACCATCGCCGCCTGCGACCCGCTCGACGGAAGAACTGACGGCGTTGTATCTCGCACGGATCTATGCATGCTCAACTTCGACCTGAAGTCCATTATCGGCGAATCTTACTACTGCGCGGGCCAGAATAGCACATCGCTCGGCTTCGGCTTCAGCAAGCGCTCTATCAGGGGACGTCCTATGAGCAAGCGCCAGGCACAAGGCAGCACGACCAGCTATCAGCCTACGCAGAACGGAACCGTCAGTGCAGAAGGTGTTGCCGTGGCTCAGGCCATTTACGACGGTCTCTACAATTCCCAAGGCGAGCGCGCGTACCTCTCCTGGCAGATCGGTTCCGAGCTCAGCGACGCCAGCCCGACGTACAGCACGGAGAGCAACTCGTGGGAAATAAACATCCCGTCCATCGGCGGCGAGTACGTGACCAAGTTTGTGCAATTGCTCGACCTGGACAACCTCTCCAGCCTCGACGGGGTGACGTACGACACGCTCGTGGGCTGGATGAACACGGGCATGGTGCGGTACATGGACAGCCTGCAGACCACGCTGCCGGACCTCACGCCCTTCCAGGCCTCGGGCGGCAAGCTGCTGCACTACCACGGCGAGTCCGACTACAGCATCCCGGCCGCCTCGTCGGTGCACTACTGGCAGTCGGTGCGGTCCGTCATGTACGGCAACCTGACGGATGCGGCCGCCCTGCAGGCCCTCCAGGACTGGTACCAGTTCTACCTCGTCCCCGGCGCCGGCCACTGCGGCACCAACGCCCTCCAGCCCGGCCCCTACCCCCAGAACAACATGGACACCATGATCGACTGGGTCGAGAACGGCGTCAAACCCGCCCGCCTCAACGCCACCGCCACCGCTGGCGCGTACGCCGGCGAGTCCCAGATGCTGTGCCAGTGGCCCACGCGCCCGCTGTGGCAGGGCAATAGCTCGGCCTTCGATTGCGTGGACGATAAGGCGTCCGTCGATAGCTGGACGTACACTTTCCCGGCGTTCAAGCTGCCGGTGTACTAGGATTGTCGTGGTGTGCTCGGGATTGCTTGTACTTTCACCGTGGTGTGGGTGTAGTAGGGTAGATGTTGGGTAGAATGACACATGTATATACTTAGAGGGCGCTGCGCAAGATACCAATTCACATATTAGCTTTTTTGTCAAGTGAATAAATTCACGTAAACACTTTAATGAAATTCTCTCTAAGATAGGTATCTAGGTGGTTGTGATTTCTATGGCACGGCTAAGTCTAAGTAATGGAGATCCCATGAACATATATTTACGTAAGGTGATACTTACCTGAGGAAAAGTAGTAGGACAAACCAGGGGATAAGGGGTAAGACCCAGTATTAGGCCGGCTGCTTAGGACATACGTGCACACGGGACCCTAGTTAAAGGGATACGAATATGTTTGCGGCGAGTCTGCTGCCCTCTTTTCGTGCATATTTTCCCCGTGATATATGAGGGGGAAGCTCTTATAGGGCATCCTAACACCAACACTCATCCAAGGCCGAATCAACTGGTGTCTCTAGAGCTTTATAGCGCAATGGAAGCGCACCAGGTACATATCCTGGCGGTCCTCTGTTCGATTCAGAGTGAAGCTATCAACCCCTTTTTGGGGGAATATTTTCCGCCCTGTGCACGATAGGAAACCAGTGGTAGGACATTGTACTATCACCAATATCTAACCGTCCACATGTGTCAGCGTCCTTGGAGCTTCATGCACAATGGAAGCGCACCAGTTCTATGATCTGACAGTCCTTAGTCCTAATTGGTGTGAAGTTAGTCATTGTACTTTTTTTTTTTTTTTTTTTTTTTGCATGCGGCGTTCTTTCCTTCACTACCTTATTGTCTTATGCCATATTTGGCGAATTGTGATTTATAATTTCACACGCCATTCTCTACCTCATTAGCTGATACCATCACTGAAGAGGAAAGGCTCTAACGACATAATAGGACGGCGTTGGGTTTGCAACCTGGAGTACCTAGTGAAGCTATTTTTCCCTTACCCCCTTTTTTTCTTCCTCAACTTTAAAGTGTCTCTATAAAGACATCAAGACTCCTTAGACTCTACCTACCATTGTGAGCATTCAGCACTTGTTTTTTCATAAGTGCTAATAAGTGAAATTCACTTCTTTCTTTTATAATGTTAGAGTGTTAGGAGCCTAATGGATCAAGCCACCAGGGACCAGGGGATCTATCTGAGCCATCAGGGGCTTCACAGCCAGGACAAATGAGGCTAGTGTATATGAGCCCGGGACATGCCCATGGCCGCTAGCTCGTAGATAGAGCCCTTCATGCCAAAACAGAGCTCCTTCTCATGCTTCCAAGGTCCGCATCATAATATAGAGCTCGCCTCTTCAGCTGTGATGACATTCTGCACTGAAAAGCCATCCGCAACTTAAACCTACAATCTCTCTTACTAATACTTTTATATCTTTCTAAATATTCACTAATATTAAACTACCTAGGTCGTGAAACCGTTCAAGGTACGTTCAAACTTAATCAGTCATGTTGTTAATGTTCAGTTCAGCGCTGAACTGAGTTTAAAACCTCCACATATGTTTTTCACGAGCTATATAATTAAGTTATAAAATAAATAGTGAATAAACAATAAAAATAACTTGTACTGGTATAAAAGGGGCAGAAAAAAGGGGTAGAAATAAAGGGGTAGAAATGTGGCTGGGGATATTCGGGCTTTGTCATGCACCGCCACATTTCTTCATTGCCGAGATGGGCCGCGCTCGGAGGGATCTGTTACCCGTTATCTGACAAGCGCAAAGCGGTCCAGACTCTTATCCCTCAGAAACTTTCCATGATGCTAGTGATTTCTAAGCCATATGCGGGTTCGGTCGGCATCTGAATCTTATTAATCAATTCTTAGAGGGACCCACAAGAAGGTAGGTAAATTTGCAAGGAGAAGAGGGAAAAAAAGTGAAGAGAAAAAAATTTCATGATAAGATGGTCGCCTTGCCAGTGTCTTTATATATTCTACGCTCATCAGTTTGTGGCTAATCTGACGTCGTTTCTCTCCCACTCATATTCCTCCAAAACCATCCCACATTAGGTAACGAGGGATTGTCGCTTAAAGCTCTAGATCCCCCAGAAGCTTGTCATCCGGTCCAGTGGTATGACCAAGGAATTGCGTGCTCGCCCGCGCAGTTGACACATTATACCACCTACCAGATTGCATAGGTATTGTCATTCGCAGTCATGGCTGCGAGACCCTGAATCTGGTCCGTGGGGGTTGCCGGTATCCACGAGACAGGCGCACTTGAATGACGGCGCAAGGACTTACAGTTAGCGTCACGTAAAAGTCTGTTCTGCGTGGGTAGAATTTTCGACTTTGAGTCTATGGTACAGCGAAGTGGAAAGATATAAGGCCGAATATTAGCTGCTCATTCAAGTTGGTTGTCGAAAAATACGACCAAGGAACACCAATATCCTTCATATACTCTGGACCTTGCTCCCTTTAGGCAAGACAATTATTGGCGTCACTTCTCGAAACATCCTGGCGTACCTATCTCAACGGGTGGACTTATCAGAAGTTAAATTTCTGTGTCTTATTAAGCCGCACAGCCGTGAACCATTACACGGCAAAGATGGGCCTATTGTATGTTCCTCCTTAACTGAGATACGGTGCCCCAATCTTGTCATGCAAAAATATTAACGTCGGTTTTTAGAGCGGAGGGCACGGCCCTTGATTGGCCGGACGCACAGAAACATGCGCATCAAGTTAGACAATGGGGTATCAAGGTAGTTCCTTACCGCGGCATGCCTCGTAATGATCCCGAACACCTTGGCTGACCTATGGTAGCAATTACTGGAAATCTGGAATAAGGCTAAGCATAAAGAGCGCGATGCTATGTTATGGGGTGACGAGGTACCGCGAATGCTGCTACTCTATCGCTCACTGACCAACGTTGTTAACGAACTGCATAGATAGAGTATCTGGTGGTAAAATATTCCAAGGATGAACCTAAAGTCCTTCTGTCGCTTCGGCAAGCCGATATTCTCAAAGCTCTAGCGAATGATGAGGAACTCTCCGATAAGGGCGGATGTGTTCCGGCACTCCAGGAGCTCGAGGCACAGAGATCGGACCCACTGCCCGTCTTTCACCCCGAATTTGGTAGATTCATGCTTGAAGCTACCCCAGGAAAGCCATGGGGTATTGGGTTCAAGGAGCTCTTGGGAGTTGAGCGTGATATGAAGAATAGGTACTACTGTCATGAAGCACGTGGTCATCACAACACGCTGACAAGAATCTAGGAGGAAAATCGCCAAAGACCACATGCAGCCTGAAGAACATCCCATCACTCTAACGACATTTCCTCAGCTAGGTGTCCCAGGCGTCTTCACCGATCCCTATTACCCACCATCTGGATCGAAGCTTCGTTCACAGTTTGTGCCGGATGAGATCGCTAATCCACACATTCGATTTCCAACCCTGGCAGCTAATATACGTTGGCGGCGTGGGAGAAAAGTCCAAGTAAATGTTCCGGTTTTCCATGATAAAAAGACGCCAAATCCATGGAAGGACCCTACTGTCAACTATGATCTTCACAACTGGCCAGAGGACGATGACGTGAGGAACGGTGCAGCCCCAGATAATTTCATCCATATGGACGCCATGGCATTCGGCATGGGAAGTTGTTGCCTGCAGATCACATTTCAGGCCAAGAACATCATTGAAGGCAGGCGGATGTACGATCAGCTGAGCCCAATTGGGCCTATCATGCTAGCTTTAACGGCAGCAACCCCTATCTATAAGGGGTTTCTGGCCGATACCGATGTCCGGTGGAATCAGATTAGCCGCGCCGTGGATGACCGAACCCCTGAAGAATTAGGAGAGAAGGTAAGAATTCCGTATGCCTCACTCGCACGGTTTTGAAATGCTGATTATTTCTAAGCCCCTGAAAAATAACCGGTGGCGCATACCTAAATCTCGTTATGCATCCAATTCTACGTATATCAGTACCGATGCACGTCTCCGACCGGAATACTTTGATCCAAACCTCATTATCGACGATTCTATTAAGGCAGAGCTCCTTGAAGGTGGCATGGATGATCGTCTTGCAACGCACTTTGCGCACTTATTTATCCGTGATCCCATAGTAATCTTTAATGAGGATCTGAAGGAGCTCGACTTGACGAAGGCCGACCATTTTGAGAACATCCAGAGCACCAATTGGCAGCACATGCGGTTCAAGCCACCGCCGCCAGGGTCTGACATCGGCTGGCGCGTCGAGTTTCGCCCCATGGAGATCCAGATCACGGATTTCGAAAACGCAGCTTTCGCTGTGTTCATGGTGCTGATCACGCGCGCGATTCTCAGCTTCGATTTGAACTTCTACATACCCATCGTCAAGGTAGACGAGAACATGGAAACAGCCCACGCTAGAGACGCCGTCCTCGAGAAGAAATTCTACTTCCGCAAGAACCCGTTCCCGAACCGGCCGGCCCGCAGCACCGGCCCATCGCGCGCAGGCTCACCCACGGCCAGCCGGCCCCCGACGCCTTTCGGGCCTGTCGAGGACGAGTACACGCTTATGACGGTCGATGAGATCATCAACGGCTCGCAGTCGGACGAGCACGGCTTCCCCGGGCTGATCCCGATCGTCGAGAGCTACCTCGACTCGGTCAACGTGGACGTGCAGACGCGCTGTGACCTCTCGACGTACCTAGACCTCATCCGCATGCGCGCCAGCGGCGAGCTCTGGACGGCGGCCAAGTGGATCCGGCACTTCGTGGCCCAGCACCCGGGATACGATCACGATAGTGTCGTAACGGACGAGATTACGAAGGATTTAGTCAGCGCCGTTGTGGATATCGGCGACAGAGAGCAGGAGGGTAGAGGCTGGAAGGACCTCCCGGTCCCGGATGTGCAGCATTTGCTCGGACGGTTCAGAAGCAGCGGTTGCGGGGACCCTTGATTGCAATTGCTACCGGCTTGAATTTGGCGGGAGGCTACCTAATACTGGCATACATTGGTAGAGGTATCTACCTATGGTCGGGGAGCATACATAGATACTTGAAAAGGTTGTTTTTTTAGAGTGATACTCTCATCCGTTATCGAGGTGTCTGCATACATGACGATGGGGGCTCAAGTGTGCGAGATAAATACTTCCTTTTTCTGTAGATTAGGTCCCTACGATCCCTATTAGGTACTAAGTTGCCTACCTACTCCCAGAGGACTTAACATATGTTGTACCTCTAAACTATACTTACTAGACATTGCTTATCTACAAATATAGGGTACATATCTATGAGCATATCAAGGCGTGTACGGTCTAACTACTTACGATATTTCTTTCATTTAACATAGGAGTTAGGAAAGTTAAAATCCTATCCACTCCTATAAAGTATTCAATATGACTAACCCCGTACAGGTGTGCTTTCTAGTTATCACCTATAATAGAACACTTGTGGTTCTTGATATTTGTATTAGTATTTTAAACCTGTAGAGTAATTTATTATTGATGATGAATTTGTTAGGATTATTATTTATGATGGTTTATAAAGGTGTGGTTTATATGGTGGGTGGATTAGTTATTTCCCTAAGTAATTAATAGGATTGCCTGATTGTTTCCTAGGTAACTAATAG